TCACTTATAGTAATGGAAATTCAATTAAGAATTAAAAATTATATGCTATGTATATATTATTTCGCTTAATAATTGACACCCATTGTATGAGTAAATGAATCAAAGCCTAGTTTTTATTATTTAAAGAAGCATAAAATAAATAACTGTATATGAGAGAAAAAAATCAAGTAGTGGCAGCATTATTTATTTAGAGAGTAAAGAAAACATATAAACATTTTAGAGTTAGCATGAGAGATTTAATTTGTAATGTTAAATATATCAAATTGTGATATGGTAGCAGTGTATGAAATTATTTTTAGTGCATAAAATTATAATTTCTTGAATTATTTCTTTTCTAGATATTACATTGATTGAAAAATAATATGCCTAATAGGAACTCTTGAGTCTTGACCAGTCAAATTAAGCTTAGTCCACAGTAAGTAGGAAGAGCAATCATTCAAACTCTCATAATTACTTACATAACCGGGCTTTTCAAGGTTTAAGCTTGAACAAGCTAAAAATGTCCAAATTTACCAAGAAAGCCTTTACGTTTGTACTGTAATCCATCAGGGCTAGCCGGCAACGTTCTTGAAAGGAGTGTCCTTTTCAGTCATCCTCGTAAAAATCAGAAAAGAGTAAAATTATCACATGTCTTAATCATACTAAAAACAGGACAAAACAATACAAAAACAAAACAAAACTCCTCTGTCTAAGTTCTTTCGTTGGTTTCTTTGATTTCTATTGTCCATATTTTCTTTGGACACCTTTGGGTGATTGTTTTTGTGGTGGTTTTTGGTTAAAGAGACCAAAAATGGCAGGAGTTAATAGGAAAATATCAGCTGCATCAGCAAGAGCTCACACTAGAAGAGCCAAGGAAAACACTTCTTTCAAGCTTCCTTCAGGTGGGTTTTCTTTTTTCAAAATTAGAAAAAAGAAAATCTTCCTTTTATCTGATCTGCTTTTGGTTATATTCTCATTGTAAAATTCCACAATTTTCTTTTATCTGGGTCACCTTGTTTCTGGTATTACCCTCCTTTTCTGCTTAGAAAGCATAAAAAAGTTGAAAATTTTGGATCTTAGATTCTTCCTTTCTTGCAGATTCTTGAAACATTCAATCATCTCAGTGTAGTGAAATTTGGGTTTTCATTTCTCATTGCTCTGCTGAGATTGTATGATTAATTATTCTTTGTATTCACCGAGTATTTGGGTCTAGACACAAGACCTGAACTTTTAGCTTGGCTTGATGTAAAAATCATTCCTTTTTTTATAGAAAGGAGTGAGCGTGAGTTGAATTTTTCATTTTTGCTAAAGAAAGGGCTTCTTCGTCTTTTAATGGTAAAAGAAGGGCCTTTGGTTGCCTTAGAGTTGTATATTTCAAGTTGGGTGATCTATAAAGGCATTATGTTTACAGGTTGTCTTGTTTCACAGATGATGTCCTGTCACTGCCATTTCTTTCATATTGATTTGTCTAAGATTATAGACTGTTTGATTATAACTCAAAAATTGCAGGGATATTCACGAAGATACTGTTGGTCTTGTCTGTGGGGATTTTGGCATGGGCTTATCAGGCGATCCAGCCTCCTCTACCCAAGACATGCGGCTCTCCAGATGGTCCACCTGTCACTGCATCAAGAATAAAGCTGAAGGATGGAAGGCATTTGGCCTACAAAGAGCATGGTGTACCACGACATGCAGCGAAGTATAAAATTGTCTTTGTCCATGGCTTTGATTGTTGTAGGCATGATGCTGTTGTTGCCACTACCCTGTCTCTGGTATTTATTTGTTTTTTCATTTTTCTATATTATTTTGAGTGGTGGTCTGAGCTTTCAATTGTAACATGTTGAAGTAAGTGTCATTTGACTTTATGGTTGTTTTTTCCAGGAAATTGTTGAAACTCTAGGGGTTCACATTGTGTCTTTTGACAGACCAGGTTATGGAGAGAGTGACCCTAATCCAAGACGAACAGTAAAGAGTATGGCTTTGGATATAGAAGAGCTTGCTGATCAATTGGGACTGGGATCCAAGTTTTATGTAATTGGATTTTCTATGGGGGGGCAGGTGATTTGGAGCTGCCTCAAGTACATCCCTCACAGGTAATCTGTTGCTGAACTACTTGAATGCAATGTATGAAGAGAGAAAGAGAATACATATGATGTTTGTACTGCTGTTGCTATACTGCTTGCTTTTTCACATTTTCTCATGTGAGGGATGTTTGCAACTCCAACAGATTAGCGGGGGCAACATTGGTAGCTCCAGTTGTCAACTACTGGTGGTCTGGTTTTCCTACAAACTTATCTAAAGAAGCATATCACCAACAGTTACCACAAGACCAATGGACACTTCGTGTGTCCCACTATGCTCCCTGGCTAACCTACTGGTGGAACACTCAAAAATGGTTCCCTAGTTCTAGTGTCATCGATCACAGTCCTGATATTCTTTCTAGTCAGGACAAAGAACTCTTGCCCAAGATAGTCTCTACAAGGAATCACAGGGTATGTATTTCTATCTGCCAAATAGTTCCTTGTGTTAAATATATCAGTACTATTACAAAGGATAAAACTATTAGAGGTAGTCAACCAACTCAACTACTCGTGGCAGTTTAAGAAAATACCATATTGGCTGCAGAACACTATGCCTCCCTTGAGAAATTTATTAAATTTACGTTTTGTTGGTTGGCACTAAGTGATAGATTTTTTCCTCACATGCAATTATGCATTTATTTTCTGTGAGTATTTTGGTCATACTCCATAGATGAGGCTACACTGGTTGTATTTGGCTGTGAATGGTGCTTTTTTCCTAAGATTGGCAAGTCTATGAGAATGATAATTGGGGCAGTATTCTGTTGTGTATCTCGCAACACAAATTGATGGTAATGATCTCTGCTTGCATTTGAAATAGGTTATAATTCTCCAACTCCAATAACAATTTGGTAACCTTTTTATTAGAAAGCCTACTTTCGTTTGGTAAGGTTCTCTCTCACTGACATGCACCAAAATCCTAACCTTCAAAAACTGCACCGTTTGTGTTCGATGCCCAAATTCACTATTGTTTTCTGCAGTTTAATTGTTGTCTTAGCAGTTTAAGTCACTGATGATGTGGTCTTAGGAGTTAATTTCTGTCTGCTGCATTCTTGTTCATGAAATCTGGTCGAAAAATTGTTTGGTTTGGACTCATATTTGAGCTGTGATTAGTTGTGTTTGTGGATTGTGTTGGTTCAGTCATGGGCATCTGTTGGCAGTATAAGGATTTTTTTGTAGTGAATGGTTGTGATGGATTAATGGTGGTTCCTTGAACTTGAACTGCTAGTCTGTGGTGGTAGTGGTTTTCCATAGTGGAGATAGTGAAAATTCAAGTATTCTTAGCACATCTACTCAATGAATCTATATCTGTAACAAATAGAGTTTTTTGCAGTATCAATATTGGCTCTTTTTCTTGTTTTTCCCACTCTTTGTATTTTCTTATAATTGAATTTAGAACTCTATATATTCTCTGCTATTGCCAGCGTCATAATCTTTTGTCTGTCCTTCCCTTAGGCACTAGTAAGACAGCAAGGTGAATATGAGTCCCTGCATCGTGACCTAAACATTGGATTTGGAACATGGGAATTCTCTCCGATGGATCTGGACAACCCCTTTCCTAATAATGAGGGCTCTGTGCACCTGTGGCATGGAGATGAAGATGGGCTTGTGCCTGTTACATTGCAACGCTACATCGTGCAACAACTCCCATGGATTCACTACCATGAACTACCTGGTGCAGGACATATGTTTCCACATGCAGATGGGATGTCGAATAATATAGTAAAGGCACTTTTGGTTGGTGAAAAGCAGACACCTTTGTAGGTTTTGTCCCTTATCTCAGCATCCCCCATCAGTTTATAACCATACTATACAATGTTACTAGGGAAAAATAAGGTTGTATTCATTTATTTTTGAAGAGGGGATAGTCCAGGTACTGGGATTTCCAGAAATATCCTTTTTTCTGAATATTGTTTAGATTGTCGAACTTTTGAACAATGTAGTAGTAACAGTTTTGTACGCATGAATAATTGTTATTAAGCACATGATAAGAAGATGGCAGTGCCCGTCTGATGCAGGGGTTATTTCTCCGATTCTTCCTCAATCAGATGGTCTAATCCCTTCTACGGGCTTGTATTTTTTTTTCTAATTTCTTGCTGGCTGTAGATGCATGTGTCACTGGTCATTATTTTCTTTCTAAAAGATTAATCTAGGGAAGCAAAATGTATAACGTTCACGTTTATAAGTGTTTCAAGACTTTAACATGATAGTCTTATTCGTTCAATTTGACAACGTTTTCATTATCATTGATTATTTTTTCTCTCTTTGGAAGATATTTGCTGTGGATCAGATTCAAATTGCATTTATTTTGATGTCACTTCATCACGGTTATTATCTTCTCCTTAAAAGGTAGGTATGTTGGATGAGTGGTCTTGGAGATTAGGAATTTAAGATGGAGACCTAGCATCAAGGGAAAGAGAAAATGATGGCTAAAATAAATTGTTCTCTTATTCATAAACGAATTACACAAATTAAAATATAATAGAGATATAGATATGATAATTAGATTAATTAAACGAATTAATCCATTTAATGTAGATAAGAATCATATCTTAAATATGTTAATACAATTAATACTTGATACGTGTAAAATATGAAATACAATACTTCTAAATACAAATTCATTTAAATTTTATATTGTATTTGTGCCATGTTAATCAAATTTATAGAGAAGTTAAATTTATTTTATTCCTTTTAGTCATTCCACTCCAATGGCTAAGTCATTTTTTGCCCTTTAAACAAAAGAAAACAAAGCATAAACTTTTCTTTTGGAACTCTGAATACTTTATTTTTAAAGATGAAGTCGTACTTTTGATTTTTGACCATGCCTTGCATTAATCTTTTACCAAACAAAAGAAAACACAATTTAATAAAGAACGTAATGGTATATGCTAATTAGTATAAACAGTAAATAAAATCTCTAGCCGCCTCTGTTGACTTTCTCGTCATCTCAGTGAACTACTTTTAGCTAGCCGTTCCTTTCCAGGTTAGGGGCCATTGTTTTGAGGGACAAAATATGGCGGGAGGAGTTAACAGGAAGATATCAGCAGCATCAGCCAGGGCTCACACCAGAAAATCTAATCAGAGCACTTCTTTCAATCTTCCTCCAGGTGGGTTTTGCTTTACCTTTCATTTTATTTGATCTAATCTTGCTTCAATTTTCAACCTTTCTTCATCTGGATCGTGATGTTTGCTTTTCTGGTGCTGTATTTAGTTGATAAGCAGATGTAACAATGTGCTAAAAAAAATGGAATTTACTGTTTCTGATCTCTGCTTTGAATGGTTGAGAACAGATTTTTCTTTTCTTGGGATTTGTTTTGATTGGCTTGTGACTATGTTCATTTAGATTTATTCTGCTTTTACCTCGAAGTGGTAGTTTTAAGGTAGAAATTTTCAGGTGTATTCCAGAAAATACTAGCAGTCTTGTTTGTGGAGATTTTTTCATGGATTTACCAGGCGATCCAACCTCCTCCACCCAGGATATGTGGCTCTCCTAATGGCCCTACTGTTACAGCACCAAGAACAAAGCTTCGAGATGGAAGGTATTCAGCCTACAAAGAACATGGTGTTCCAAGAGATGTGGCCAAGTATAAAATTATCTATGTGCATGGTTTCAATTCTGGTAGGCATAATGCTTCTGTTGCAGCTACTCTATCTCCGGTACTTATTTGAGTGGCTTATTTTACTTTATTTTTCAGTCTCTCCTCTTAAGTTTTAATGTTTAATATGTTAAAAAGTTAGTGTATCATTGACTTTTTGATTGTTTCTTTCAGGAAGTTGTTGAGGAGTTAGGGATATACATTGTGTCCTTGACAGACCAGGTTATGGAGAAAGTGATCCTAATCCAAAACGAACAGTAAAGAGACTAAATGGAAACAAAATGCAATCATGATATCTAGAAAATGGTTTGGTGCTGTCAAAAAATAATACAAAAAAAGACATAAGATTATTGCTGTTTTAAGCAATATTTACTTATAAGTTTCAATATTCTTTGTAGATTCTCATAGTTCGCAAGTTCAAAACTCTTATTTATTTAATTTCTAACCTGAAATCTTTGCCAACTGGTAGTTGAAGCTCTTCCGGAAAAGAAAAATCACAGGAGAAAATATGTTAGAGGCCCGAAACCCAAAATTATGAGAATCATAATTCATAACAGAAATAAACAATAACATTTTTAACAAAAGGAAAGGAACACAGTTTTTAATTGTAGTAGGAGATCTAAAAACCATGTTAGTTGTAAACAGTTAGTAGAAAAATGGAGAAAACAGCTTAGCAAAGAGATTTCTTCAATTGATTCAGCCATTCTTTTTACTATATGGAGTAATCTACTTTTGACAAATCTTCATATGAATTCTGTTGCTCTTCTCACTACTGCTTGTCTAGTTCTCTGATATTGTAAGGAAATGACTTGTAAGTCCATATTCCATGAATAATGTCTAGTGAGTGGGTCAGTAAAGTGAAAGATGGGTCCGAAAGAAGAAAACCTTGAATCAATTTTCTTCATGAAAGATGAATCTTCAGACAAAACCCTATTTGCTATCCAAACCATCGACCTAGACTCTGACATTGAAGATTTCTATATGATACCTTCCTTCCTTACTTACTTAAATTTCAAACCTTCCTTGACCCCCCGATACCTTCTACACTAGTCTCCATATATCCATCAAAATACAGTCAACCTATCCTTGCAATTGCTTTCTTTGATACAAGTGCAGCAGAAATAGTAATGAACCCAAAAATTTTGCCCAAAAACTTCTGAATACCTTATGAAAAACATTTCAAGACAACCTTAGATCAAACCTTCACAACCCATTTGATCAACAAGCCAATTACCATCCAGTTTTTCCCCCAATGCTCAGTCACCACCCAAGTACTAGGATAAGGATTGCCAAGAAAAGATATAATTGTGGATTTGACATTTACCACTAATGTCAATATTTGAGAATACTTGCAGATGGAATTAGGTATAAACATTCTTTCAAACCTTTTGTTCCTATCCCAAAAATTTATTCTCTCTAACAACCAGGAGACCCAATTCAGCAGATAATTGAAGCTTTCAAATAGAAAGCATGTGCCCATACCCGTTCAAACTTCCTCAAAAATGCAAGAATCCTCTTTGGAAGAGTTCGAAATTCTTTGTCAAGCTTCCCTTCTAGCTCAATGAAGATATTAATCCTACCAAAGCAAGTCATTTAGGCTTGAATCCTAAACATCAGAAGCTAGCAGAACAAAAGTGTAAAGAGTTGCTATAGCAAGGATTAATTGAACCATCAAATTCTCAATAGGCATGTCAAGCTTTTTATGTCAACAAACAGGCGGAGCAAACCAAAGTTAAATTAAGATTGGTTATCAATTATCAACCTCTGAATCATTTTTTGCTAGATGACAAGTTTCCTCTACCCAACAAAAATACCATCTTTTCAAGTTTGGCCCAAGTAAGATTCTTTTCAAAATTTGATCTCAAAACAGGATTTTAATATTTGGGAATTGATCCTAAAGACAGACCCATGATAGGATTTTGCATACCCAATCATCATCATCAATGGATTGTTTTACCTTTTGGTCTTAAGACAGCCCCATCCCTATTTCATAAAGCCATGATAAAAATTTTTCAGCTTATTTTGGGCTCCGCCCTTGTCTACATAGACGGCATCCTTTTATTCAGCCCAACAAAACAAGATCATATCCAACTCCTTCAACAATTTTCAAACTTGACTTTCAAGAATGAAATCATGCTTTTAGAAAAAAAAATATAGATTTTTAAAACTGAAATTGACTTTCTTAGAATGCATATATCCTACGGGATATGCCACTCAAGCCCTCACATTTCGCAAGAATTGCTTGAATTCTTAAGCCAAAACCTCACAGAAAAAACAATTTCAGCAGTTTCTTGGAATTGTCAACTACCTCAGAGACTTCATTCCCGGACTTTCAAAATGGATGAACCCTTTGACAAAGATGCTCAAAAAAGACCCTCCAAATTGGGGACCAGCCTAAACAAGAGCCATCCAAGATCTTAAGAAAAAAATGCAAATCTAGGACCTTTACAGATCCCCTCTGATGGGAAAAGAATTCTGCAGACTGATGCTAGTGACAAATACTAGGGAGTAGTACTATTTGAAGAAAAGCAAGATAAAAAATATCTCCGTACTTACAAAAGTGAAAAATTCTCAAGTTTAGAATAACATTAGCATTCCACTTTTAAGGAGATTCTTACAGTTAAAAAAGCAATCACAAAGTTTGAATTTCATCTTATTGGCCATCATTTTCTAGTTGAAATGGATATGTCCTCTTTTCCCCAAATGATGAAGTTCAAGCAAAAAACAGGTCCTCATCTTTTGTTGTTAAAATGGGTAGAGTAGTTCTCCAAATACTCTTTTGGAGCCAAGCATATCAAAGAGAAGATGAACCACCTTGTAGATTTTCTGTCCAAAACCTTTCAAGAATAAAAAATCATGATGTTCAACCCAAGATCCACAAGACTAAAGCCAAAACCACCTAGTTTCACACCAAACCCAAAAACATACATCATAAGAACCCCTTTCTCCTCCATCCCAATGGCCCCAAACCTTCACCCTGATTACCCTCCTGAAGTCCTCAACCTAGTCCAAGAAGGGACATTCCACCAAAAGGCTAACCAAATGGTATTTGAATGCCAAATTGAAGTCTTTAGAAAATATAGCGAACTTATCCTAAAACCTTATGGACTTCATCCGAAATACCCTTTTATCCATTTTTTCTACTATGAATTCATGGAATTCCTTGATGAATTAAAGTGGATGTTTTGGTACCTACCTCACAAATATCATAGAGGTATCTAATTCCACATTATGAATTTCTCAAAGTTCATAGAAAAGGTCATCAATCAAGAAGTTGAAAATTGGTGAAAAAATTTTGCAGATATGTTCACATGGTTCTACCCACTTTCACATTGGAATAAATTGATCAGTTCAGAAGCAGGAAAGAGAAATCAGATGGTCATCATCATCCTCTATAAGCTACAGTATTTCCTTACTCATGGAAAGCCACACAACTTTATGTTATTCCTTTAGCATGGACTTACAAGTCACTTTTTTGCAATATTAAAGAACTAGACAAGCAGTACCAAGAATTTCAAAGAAGAATTTGTCAGCACAAATTATCCCATAACATATTTGGCCCTCAGTAGAAACAAAAATGTCGTAAGATTACTTTCCTAAAACACCTAGACCCTACCATGATCATATTATTGCAGCATTAAAAGAATACAATGACGGAATCTTAGACCTATATGAGTGGTCCCAAGATCCACGAGATTATGGAGAAATCACTGAAAAAAAAATTTCATAACTTTTTGTCAGATCATTTGAACATAGGACAACCCACTCTCCCAAGCCATAGTCAAGAGATAAGGCTCTAAGCACTACCAAACCACTTTGCCAAACATGTGGAAGACATTATGATGAAGACCTAAAAGACTTCTTTCATCACAATAATATCTATAAAAAAAGGAAATAGCATAAAATAGTTGAACTTAATCTCACCTCGGAACCTGAGACTGATTATGAATAAATAAAGTATGACAAGCTTGTCTGTATAATTATTAGAGTCTATAATATTTAAGCTTATAGGTTTTTCTGTTAGTATGATCATAGTAGTCTGTACTATTTATCCAATCACTATAGATGGTTTATCGTATTTAACCCTTTGCATATAAAAGCAAAGGATATCATGTAAAATAGGCAGAACTACTCTTGAAATAAAAAACCCATGTGTGTTTTCAAAACATGTTCTTCTAAAATCCTCTCTTCTTCTTCTAAGATTATTGTAGTAAATTACTTACAGTACCCTTATAAGATTAGGCCCTTTGAGTATGCTCTACATTTGCCATAATTAATGGATATTGTGCATTATAAAGAATCCTGTTCTCTAAGATAAAAGGCTAAGCAGTGAAGATGAATCCTTCATGGTCATTTGAATTATTTTAATAGATAAAAGGCCAGTGCCACCTTTAAGGCAAAGATAGCCGTATTTGGCTAGTGCATGCCTTCTATCTGTTATAATCAATGGCCATGACCCTAAAATGGTATTAGAGCCTTGTACTGAAAGCAATTTGCTAGAATAATCTTGAGAAAGATTTTCTAAATCATGAACTCTTTTACTGAAAAATCTACTATTGTAAATAATGTCACTATTTCCTTATACCCTTCTCCTGGTAGAAATCCATCTCTAAGATCAATTTTTTATATGAAATAGATTATATTCCTGAGGAAGAAAAGACTCAACCATCTCAGTTACTTCTTACCAACCTTTATTCTGTTTATACAAAACCCTCTTTTTTGCTAGTCAAATCTATCAATGCCCTAATCAAGCACTCTCTGAAAACCTCAAAAGAATATATTCAGCCCACCAAATTTGACAAACACTTTATCTAGGGAGATCAGGCAGAATAATTTATTACGCTCCAAATACCACCTGAATTTCCTCAATAATGGATCCAGCATGGCTACTTTCACATTCATTTTGGTGCAATCAGACTCATTTTAAGTTATCATGGCTAAGAAGGACAACCAGTAGTAGCCCAAATGGCTCTCCTTGACACCAGGTACATAAAGTATAAGCATGCATACATAGGGACTATTGAAGCCACTTTAAACACTAAAACAATTATTGCTACCCTATTTCTAAATTACACCATGGCTTTATGTGATCTTAACTTGTTCCCAGCCTTGAAAGTGCAAATTCAAATTATAGGAGCCCCACAAGTACCCTCAGCCATTATAGAAACCTTACAATACCAGATAGTCTACAGGGTTTAAGACCATGCATTTAATCCTTTTAAACTTTAAACTAATTTAGATTATGCATTGGTCTTAACAATAAATACATTACAAGCTCCTGCTAGCTTGTTTGTCCCTAAAAGAATTCCAAAAAATGACTTGGCCAAACTCCTCTCAGAAAAATGTGTCATTAATTATGAAAAACTCCAAGAAGCCTCAACTTCTATCCAGTCCACTAAAACCCATTTTA